CGTAATTATCAACTTAAGACGAGGAAATAGGCAAAATATGACCTGGCCTCAAACTTGGCCAGATCAAAGCCTTATGTGCCGTAGTTACAAAATCGTTGGTTTAAGTACGATCGAGTGAATAATAATTTTTTAACGAATTTTTTTTCTCCCTGAGGCCTTTTAAAAATTATTCTGCAGGTACAAGCTTTTTGTTCACTCAGAATTAAAATTACTCAGTTTCCTGGTGGATTCCTTCTTAAACATTGCTTTTGTATGTTACCAAGCACAAATTTTAAGACAGTATTTTGAGTATTGTGAGTATTTTTTCTGTCTTTTTGTGTTTTCTCCTTTTATTCAACAGGCTTGATCTGTAACATGTAAAAGTAGATGAAACATGATCTATGATGTCAAAAAATTATTTTGTAGAAAACAACAGAATGACTAGTTTCATGATCTCAAAAGATTGTGCGCATTATCAGGAATTACAGAAAAATACATAGGTTTTTCAAAAATATAATAATTTTGTCAAAGGGATAACATAGACGTAACCAAAAAGAATGGTAAAGAAAAAATTTGAATAGTATTTCTTTCTGAGCTTTAAATTCTAAATATCTGGTGAAAAGGTAATATTATCCGACTTAATAAAAATCTAATTAAATATAGATTTTAACTAACACCATAATTTTTTTTGAGTTTCGATCTTAGTCAAGAAACTATTTCTTCCTTTACCTCTCTTCTCACAGGTCTTTAAGTTTGTGTTCTTTTTTAAACTGGCTACATACCATTGGGAGCAATGCTGTGATGGACTAGTATCCCATCCATGGAGGGGAGGGGGGAGTTGGGCTGAGAATAGTTCTTGGCAATTCACTGTACTCAAACCAAGATAAGCTGTTGCTGTGTGCAGGGCTTCAATGGCTTGTTTCAACCCTTTAAGCACCAGTATCCACATACAAATTCTCCAGACTGATCTCAATGCATTCCTTAACCCTTTAAGCCCTAAGAGTGATCAGTGTCAAATTTCTCCTAGTGGTATCACTTGTTTATAAAACACAGTGGTCATGAGAATTGAAGACCTGATCACACAAGATGAATCTAACTGATACCCAAAGGAATCCCGGTGATTGTTTCAACTCGCAGTGGTCATAACCATGAAACTCAACTGTCATCTTCGTCGCGGAATATTAACAATTTAATTAGCGTTCGTCGTTATTCTGCCTTGGCACCGATTGTTGCAGACAAACACTTGTCTCTGTGCTTGCTAAATGCTTGTTCTGTGAAAAATAAGACCGCTGACGTTTTTGATTATTTATGCGACTGCAAGGCTGACCTTGTTGCGATCACTGAGACTTGGCTGACTACTGACGACGCTGCTGTGCGAGCTGAATTGTGCCCGGTCGGATACAAAATTTCTGATCGCCCACGTACTGGTCGTCGTGGTGGCGGAGTGGCCTTGATATACCGTGATTCGCTATCTGTCAGAAGGATTGATGCTGGCGAGAAAGAATCCTTTGAATACTCCGAATGGACAATCTCATCACCTTCGCTCAATCTTCGGCTTGTCCTTCTTTAT